TGAATGAATTCGATCTTCAATTTAAAATATTTACACTAGTGGATACCACAAAATCTTATGTTATACTTGATGAAAGTTTGAATAAACTCGTAAGTGTTAATGAATCTATTGTTTTGATAGGATACACATTCTACGAAACTAATTTCAACGATCCAACCGTCAAACATGTTTGTATATACTTCGAGATCACATGTGCCAAAAATTGCAAAAAACAAACATTCATAGATCAAGTAACAAGACAAAACGTTTCGACGGTTATAAACTCGTAAGTGTTAGTGAATCTATTGTTTTGATGGGATACGCATTCTACAAAACTAGTTTCAACGATCCAACCATCAAACATGTTTGTATATACTTCAAGATCGCATACGCCAAAAATTGCAAAAAAACAAACATTTAGAAATCAAGTAGCAGGACAAAACTTTTTTACGGTTATAAACGAAAAATCACGATTTAACGGTTATTTTAACTCCGATTTTGATGATTTTTTACATCTATACTCCTTGACCCTATATGAATACAATGAATGAATTCGATCTTCAATTTAAAATATTTACACTAGTGGATACCACAAAATCTTATGTTATACTTGATGAAAGTATGAATAAACTCTCAAGTGTTAGTGAATCTATTGTTTTAATGAGATACGCATTTTGCGAAACTAGTTTCAACGATCCAACTGTCAAACTTGTTTGTATATGCTTCGAGATCGCATATGCCAAAAATTGCAAAAAACAAACATTCAGAGATCAAGTAACGGGACAAAACTTTTCGACGGTTATAAACGAAAAATCACGATTTAACGGTTATTTTAACTCCGATTTTGATGATTTTTTACAGCTATACTCCTTGACCCTATATAAATACAATGAATGAATTCGATCTTCAATTTAAAATATTTACACTATTGGATACCCCAAAATCTTATGTTATACTCGATGAAAGTATGAATAAACTCTTAAGTGGTAGTGAATCTATTGTTTTGATGGGATACGCATTCTACGAAACTAGTTTCAACGATTCAACCGTCAAACATGTTTGTATATACTTCGAGATTGCATATGCCAAAAATTGCAAAAAACAAACATTCAGAGATCAAGTAACGAGACAAAACTTTTAGACGATTATAAACGAAAAATCACGATTTAACGGTTATTTTAACTCCGATTTTGATGATTTTTTACAGTTACACTCCTTGACCCTATATGAATACAATGAATGAATTCAATCTTCAATTTAAAATATTTACACTAGTGGATACCACAAAATCTTATGTTATACTTAATGAAAGTAAGACTAAACTTTTAAGTGTTAGTGAATCTATTGTTTTGATGGGATACGCATTCTACGAAACTAGTTTCAACGATCTAACCGTCATACTTGTTTGTATATGCTTCGAGATCGTATACGCCAAAAATTGCAAAAAAGAAAAATTTAAAGATTAAGTAACGGAACAAAACTTTTCGACGGTTATAAACGAAAAATCACAATTTAACGGTTATTTTAACTCCGATTTTGATGATTTTTTACAATTACACTCCTTGACCCTATATGAATACAATGATTGAATTTGATCTTCAATTTAAAATATTTACACTAGTGGATACCACAAAATCTTATGTTATACTTAATGAAAGTACGAATAAACACACTAGTGGGTCACCTTCATTAAGCTTTGAGTTCCATTGACAAGGTTTAAACTTTTGAGAAAGGCTTTACAACCTTGAAAACAAAAACGCTTTCATTTTGCATATCTTTGCACATTTAATATTTGTAATAGATTAGTAGTGTATGGATGTATTTTTTATGAGGCTCTTATAAATGTAGTACTTAAGCGACAAATGTGTTTTAATGTTTTGAAGTAATATTTATGTGACAATGTGTGGTATGTGCAAATTTAAGAAAAAAAATATTTTTCTTAACGGGTCATAACGGGTCGGGTCACTTTACCCGTTGGGTAAAGTGACCTGACCTGTTAAGGACCGTGAAGATAACAGGTGTGACATGACACGACCCGTTAAGATAACAGGGTGTTACACGAAAACGATACGAACACGACTGACACAACCCGTTTGCCAGGCCTACTTGCATGGCCTGTTATTTGTTTAATTAATTTCAATATGACTTAATATTTTAGGTAAAATTATTAGAAATTTTTCTGTTAAAACTATTTGATGGTCATTACTTTTACGTAAGTGAAGACGTAGAAGATAAACATTGAATAAAAAATAGAGAAAATAAAATTATAACAAAAAAATTAAAATAAATTATCATCCAACATCATGATTATTTTAAGTCATCTCTATATGGGCTTGTGTTCACGGCTGAAAGAGATTGGATCTGAGAAATAAAATCAGATTAACAGGGACACGTAAGTCAGAATTTATAAATATATAAGAATAAGTTAGATAACGCACGTTATTTTGAATTCATAACCTATTATATCTTATTTATTTTACATTTTGACACAATAAACAACGAACTAGACTGAAGTCTATTTTAGTACATACCCACTCACATTGGGTGAACAATTTCCTTTCATTTTGTTGTATTATAAAGTGTTGATTATTTTAAAATTCTAAAAAGGAAAATCGATTACGAGAAAATAAAGAAAATAATGTGGCAGTTTTATTTTAAGTTGACATTTTTCTATTGTTATTTTAATTTTTTTTAGTTATTAAATGAGGTATATTATCCTTACATGGCTGTAAGATTGGTATAAAATTTATGTTTATGTAATTATTAAATTGTCATTTTTTTTACTTATTGTTGAATTTTAATAAAGGGGTTAGAATGAAAATTTATGAACTTTTGATTGACAATCAAAGTTCTATTAATATGCAGTTTAAATTTGTCACAACCTATTCCAATCTCAAATAGGGTGTATATAAAGTGAGAAGACTAGGTAAAGCTTTCAAAATATCATAGAATAGGTGTGTCAAATTAGAATTCTTTGTCCCAATCTCAAGTAGGCCGCACATAAAGTAAGAAGGCTAAGTAAAGCTTTCAAAATACCATAGAATACCTCTGTCAACTTAGAATTCTTGTCCCAATCTCAAATAGGCTGCATATAAAGTGATCAAGCTAGGTAAAGCTTTCAAAATATCATAAAATACCTCTGTCAACTTAGAATTCTTTGTCCCAATCTAGGGGTGGGCAAACGGGTATAGGAACCGCGGGTCGGGGCGGGTATTGCGGGTAAGGGGCGGGTACGTGCCGGTTCCTAATTTTTAAAAAGAGAAACGGGGCGGGCCAGGCCGGGCCTTTGAAACTTTAGGTTCGGGCCGATTCCATAAGTGTAGAAAAACGGGTACCCAGACCGACCCGTTTCTAATTATAATGAACGGGCCATATTGCATGATAAGTTATCATCCAATCTCAACTGTTAGTTTCTAGATCAACCCTAGCCAATTCCTTCAGGTTCCAGAATCACGCCCTCGCCTCTCCCTCGACTCCATCGCCTCTCCCTCGACTCCCTGGACAACCTCGCCTCTCCCTGGACTCCCTCCACTCCATCGCCTCACCCTCGACTCACTCCACTCCAACTCTCAATTGTCTTGCCATCACCTCACAGTGCTCACACCAGCCTCACTATCTGGGTTTTAATTTCCCAGCTCCAAGGTGTGGTGGCCCCTATTTCTCTCACCTCACAGTCCTCATTTTCTACATGCTCCCAGGTTTGGCCCCAGACTTACAATCTTTCCATACCAGATATCTTGTTTGATAATAATTTCATAAATTAAGGTTTTTTTTTCTTTATGTAAAAATTGAAAACGAAATTGTTACGAATCCTTAATTTTCCGGTTTACTTTTTGGTAAAGCAAAAAGAGGTTTTACTTTCTAGATGTACACGATATATTGGGAATATTTTTGTCTCATATATGGTATGAATTTTGCAGACTAGATGTTTTTTTTTTTTTTTTACTGGTTGTATTACCAAATTACTTACTTTAACAAGTTGTACTGTCTCCTGCAGATTGCTTGTGAAATTAATCTCATTATTCCATTGAGAACCACATCTCCAATGGAATCATTTGCAGTCTCCGAGTTTCCAGCTTTAGGTCCGATCCCTATGAAGTAGTTGTTATGTGTTCTGGAGGAGACACCAGCAAGTCTTTTACATCTTCTCTATATACAGAGTTTAAGAAGCAAAACCTGCTACAAGGTTTCCCCGCCAGTGTTCGAAGAAGATTTATTAGAATTTGCTATCCCCGTCGAGGAAGGTGGAGGTTTCGGGAAAATAAAAAAAACAAAGAACCCGTGAACCCGGCCCGAACCGACCTGTTTCAACCGGGTCGGGTAAGGTCCGGTTCCTATATAAGAATTTTCTATTCCCGGCCCGGCCTGGCCCGTTTCCTTTGCATCCAGGTTCGGTCCGGTCCCTCCAAAAATGGGCCTGGCCCGACCTGTGCCCACCCCTATCCCAATCTCAAATAGGCCGTATATAAAGTGAGAAGGCTAGGTAAAGCTTTTCAAAATATCATAAAATACCTCTGTCAACTTAGAATTCGTTGTGCCAATCTTAAATAGGCTGTATATAAAGTGAGAATGCTAGGTAAAGCTTTCAAAATATCGTAGGATACTTCTATCAACTTAGAATTCTTTATCTTAATATCAAATAAGCTGTATATAATTATAAAGTGAAAGGCTAGATAAAACCTTCAAAATATCATTGAATACTTTTGTCAACTTAGAATTATCGTCCCAATCTCAAATATACCGTATATAAAGCGAGAAGGCTAGGTAAAACTTTCAAAATATCATTGAATACCTCTATAAACTTGAAATTCTTTGAATTTAATTGAAAAAGGGAAAAACAGTAAAAAGGAACCCAGGTTCAAAGTAGCTGATGTGGCTGTAAAAATAATAAAAAATATCAGATATTTCAAATAATTTTTAGAATTTAAAATTAGGTTGGGTGCTCTCACCTCTTACGAAACTTTTCGAATTTAAAATTAATTAATGTTTCAATTTTTTTAATATTTTTAATATCGAAACAGGTGGCTGGTAATTCCGAAGAAAGTACTTGGAAGCACGGTAATTTCGAAACACGTGGCCTGTAGTAATTCCGTGTCTCGTCTCGCTTCTTGACTCGTTCGCTATATATGTGCCGAAACTCGAGTCGAAAACAAAAAACGCGCCTAACGTTCTCAGTTTCACAACGAACTAGATTATTTTACGTTCTCTCTGTAAATCCATTGGAATTTCTGTTGTTGTCACATCACCAACAACAGATTGCGTTGGTTTCTTTGAGGATTATCGAGACGGTGTTCTCTCGAATAGAAGAGAGTTTGAAGATGAACGATAATCAGCCTGATGAAATGGTTAAATGTTGGCCTGCGGTGCCTGAACCGCCATCGGTTACAGTGGGGTTGGATTTGCCGTTGAAGGAGTTGAAGATGAAGCTCCTTAAGGATGAAAAGGTGTCTATGCTTGTGCTGACTGCTGCTGGAGGATGCGGGAAAACCACCTTGGCAAAAATGTTTTGTCAAGATCAAGATGTCAAAGGTATGCTATTTATGATTTCAACTTTTTTTGGTGAAGTTTAACTCCTAGTTAAAAATTAATACACCATGTAGAGGATTATGCGAGTAGAACTACGCGCTAGGGCCTACAAATTGTCCGCTAATCCCTCCAAACATACATACTAACCAAAATTTGTTAAAGAACATAAAACTACAAGTCTTGTAATGATATGAACTTGGTATGATTTTCTTTGTACTAGTGGTAAGTTAAGTTGATGCCCTCCTCTTAGAGTTAACAGGTCTTGTAATGAGCTCCTGTTTGATTACTTGATATGAGAATTGCATGTCTAGTCAACCTTTTATTTAACACCTTCTTTGTTTCGATAGATACATTCAAGAATAACATCTTCTTTCTCAATGTCTCGAAAAAGCCCAACTTGGACCTTATTGTACACCAACTATATCAACGGATGGGGTACGAGCTGCCTGCTTTCGAAAACGAAGTCATGGCAGCTAACTGGTTGTTCTCAAGTAATCTGGACAAAATCCTCTACTGTTTGTCCTGGATGATGTTTTGGTCAGGATCAGAGTCCCTGTCTTGAGAAGATTTGACGACGAATTCAAGTTTTCAAATTACAAGATTTTGGTCACATCAAGATTTGCATTTCCAAGATTCGGTTCTCCTTATCATTTGGCACCATTGAATGATGAAGATGCAATGGCTCTTTTTCACTATTCGGCATCCTTGAAGGATAAGAGCTCTTCTTACGAAGATCTTTCGAGAAAGGTGATTTCTTAGTCCACAATACACACACACACAGAGACACACACATATATGTGGATATATATATGATTATTTATGCCTCAGAAGAGGGTAAAGAAATAACGTTTGAGCATCCACACACGTTAATGAACTGTGAAGGATGAAGTAAGAAGAGTGAAAGAGTAGACAGTTTACAATTTTATCAGCTTTATGAAACCATTTAGATGATTTAATTCAACAACTTAATCAATAATAGTTTAATTTCATTTTGGATAATCAAATTGCAGATTATCAAGCGCTGTAAGGGATGCCCACTTGCCATTGAAATTGGTCGGGAGATCAAAGCCAGCCTATAGAAATTGGCAGAAAAGAGTGGGAATTGGTGCAAAGGTTCATCTTCTTTGATTCTTGATTTTTGAAGCACTTGGCTCCAAAAGCTTAATGCCCGAAAAGGCTATCATTTCTTTCGATCTAGGTTCTTTTAGGAGGAAAAAAATTGATATGTGGGCGGAGTTGTATGGTCTAGATGAAGAAATTCTGACCATTGCCAACCTTCATGAGCTCACCACCCGAAGTTTAGCTAATCTTGTTGTCACAAGGTATGCAGGCTGCTCATAATTTTTTCTATTTCATTATGTATGCCGAACAAATCATTAAAGAAATTAGTATTGATCATCCAGACATGAGGGGGAGACAGATGGCTATTACGCTGAACACTTTGTCACCCAGCACGACATGCTTAGAGAGTTGGCGATCCATCAGGCGAGTCAAGACCCAATAGAACATAGGAAACGACTATTTTTAAACATCTGTGGGAACAGACTTCCTAAGTGGTTGACAGAACAAAAGTATAAAGCGATCAAGGCTCGACTATTATCTATCTCAACAGGTTCAATCAATCTCTCTTTAGTAAATACTTATACATGTGCGCTCGGGACACACGTGTGCACACACACACATGCTCATTCTTACTAAGACTTCAATCGGACCTCGACACATTTAAGTTCAACCCACGCTAACATCTTAAAGCTTATTGTTTGCAGATGGAGCCTTCTCAGCAAAATGGCCAAACATGCAAGTACCCGAAGCAGAGGTTCTAGTTCTGAATTTTGAAACGAAGAACTATGCCTTACCTGAGTTTGTGGAGAAAATGGATAAACTAAAGGTTCTAATACTAAATAATTACGGTTTGTTACCTGCTGAACTAGATAATTTTGAACTACTTGGTTCGCTATCAAATCTTAAGAGAATTAGATTAGAACGTATTTCAATTCCTCCCATAAGCAAGGTCCTTAAACAGTTGAAAAGCTTGCAGAAGATCTCTCTTTTCATGTGTGATATCGGCCAAGGTTTCGTCAAAATTTTAGATGCACTGCCAAATCTAGTGGAATTGAACATTGATTATTGCTATGATCTGGTGCAACTTCCTGCCAACCTTTGTGACCTTGTTCACCTTAAGAAGCTTAGCATCACCAACTGTCATAAGCTATCTGCCTTGCCTGCAGACATCGGAAAGCTAGTCAATCTTGAAGTGTTGAGGCTTAGGTCATGTGCAGATTTGTTAGAGTTGCCAGGCTCGATTAGGAACCTTAAAGTTTTGAAATTTCTCGACATATCTGATTGCTTTAGCGTAAAGGAGTTGCCAGAGGACATTGGTGCAATGTGCAAAAGCAGCATTGAAGAAAATGGATTCAAACGAAGTGCCTGTTTCAAAACTGAAAGGCTGCCTGCTTCTGTTATGGAACTTAAAGCCATTGAAGTGATATGCGACGATTTCCTTGAAAACTTTATGGGAACCCTTTTTGCCAATTCTCACAAACATGCGCAATTAAAGTGATAATGATATCAACCAAATTGGAAAAGTCCTTTGCATCATGATAATGCATCGTGATTTGCCCATGTGTTAAAAAACTACTTTAATGATAAATGCAGTACTCCTGCTTGCTTGCAATATATGATCCTTGAAGCATGTTAAAGTTGAACAAGTTCTTGCAACTAAGGCAACCATGGAATCTTTTCAATCATCTCTCTTGCCAAGTTCTTGATTAAACAATGTCTTCTCAAACTGATATCAATCAAAACCTAAATTGCAAACAATTAATATTTCCATCTCAAGATCTCTGGTTGCCAAATGTTCTGCATTTTGTCGATAATCATTGCAAGTTTAATGATTCTTTGAATTCTCATGTTTAAGATAGCTAAACTCATTTGTATGCAAAGACTTTTTTGATTTCAAGTAACACACATTAAGTCTGCCATGAAAAAGCACCAATGATATAGAGGACTGGAACATTGAGCATGTCCTGTGAGAGGCTAGTCTTTCAAGCCTTTCAATTCTTGCTGTTCGTAGAAAGCAACGAAAGGCCAGTCTTGAAGCTTCCTGCCAATCTCAATGACGGCTTTCTTAGAATTGGTTTTGTGAAAATTCAAATTACAGAGAGAGCAGAGAAACGAGGAAGAGTGCACATGTTAAAGTACAATTTTATCCATGTATTAACAGATAGTTAATGGAAAAATCAAATTTTGGGCTAAACGGAGTACCAACAATGAGTTCAAATCTGAGTTTTTTTAGCATATGGGCTATCTTCCGAATACCTTATGATCATAGGGATTATTTATCCGATTTGGCCTTATTGTAATTATTCACCATGGCTATTATTGTAAATAACATGTTTGCACTCCTCATTTATTGACTCTTTTGATTCTCTTTGATTTATCCAATCAATGGTGTGCATAAGTGCATGGAAAGAAAATAAAGTTCAAAAATAACTACCCTTTGATTTATCCAATTAATGAGTGTTGGTGCAAAATTTGTTTTCTTATTCTCTCTCTTGCTGCACCTCTTTATCCCCCTTCAGTTAAAATATGACATAACATTACTATTTTATTTAAGGGTAATTCAAATTAGTAGATAAAATTTTGCAAACTAAGTGACATGGAAATTGATGATTGGAATATGACTTAAACGTAGATAAATGTGCTTAATCCTATTGGTAACATATCATTTAGTTTGTAAATTTTGTCCTCGTAACATTACTCATATAAATTATTTATTCAACAGCACAACATTTTTTTTACTATTTTATTTTCAACTATAAATGCTACAACACAAAATTTTAAAAGCAGTGCAATACCAAATCATATGCACTAGAAAATTCTGTATCTTCTCGCCTCCTAATAGCGCGTCAAATGTCTTTCCCGGCTCGTTCGTTTTCTTTGGGTGAAATTCATTGCTCTTCGTTAAGTTGTATATATGTGTGCTGAAACCAACAGACACCTTACATAACATTCTCACTTTCTCATCAAACTAAATTAACAAAGAGGATTAAGGGTTAGTTTGGGACTATTGTGTTTAAAAAAAAAAAAAACTAATATTGTTATGATTTAAGAATAATCAGCTGTAAAATAAAGGTGATGAGCGTTTGCTTAACTAAATTTTAAAAGTGCTGTGAATATGAAAAGCAACGCAAAAGTGTTTGGTAAAATTTAATGTAAAAGTGATATAATTGTATACAATGATAGATGGACATAGTAGTAAGAGTGGGGGCAACGACAGCAGTGGTGGTAATGGTGATGGTGGTTGTGGTGGAGTTGGTGGTTGCGGTGGAGCTGGTGGTGGTGCTAATAGTGGGATATGTTGGTTGAGGTGGAAAGGTAACATTGGTGGTATGGCGGTGGTAGTGGTGGCAGTTGCAGTTATGGTGGTGTCAGTGGTGGCGGCAATGATGGTGGTAATGATAGTTGTGGTTGTGATGGCGATGATGGCAGTTGCAGTAATGATGGTGGTGATGGTGTTGGCAATGATAGCATCGATGGTGGTAATAGTGGCGGTGGCAATGGCGGCGGCGGTAGTGATGGTGGTGACAATGATGGTAGTGATGACAGAGGTGAAGGTTGTGGTTATGGCGGCGGTGGTGGTGACAATAATGGTGGTTGTAATGGAGGAGATGGTGTAAGGTTAGTATTTGTAATGGTAGGTGATAGCGTTTATTTTATTCTCTAAGGAATGTGTTTGGAAGGTTAAACAATGTCATTTAAAAAAAAAAAATTAATGAAGGTATTACAACAATTGAAAATTATTATTATAGACACAATTCTACTTTTTTTTTATTAAAGCCGCTTTTAAAAGCAACTTACATGCTGCTTTTAAAAGATGCTATTTGGAGTCTCTTTGTTTTGGTAAATATGTCTGGCTCCAGTCGGAATGGGTGATTTCAGAACGACATTTGAAATGCTGTTTGATGCTGTAAAATCAGTGCAGGAGGAGAATAAAATGTTCCAGCACCTCTCCCGAGACATCAAGTTCGCACAGGACTCTGTACAACCACTCATCAAAGACATCGAAAAGTATAACTCGAAAGAGGGACCGCAAATTTTGCAATACAGATGGAGGAGGGAACAAGCTTTCAACAACTGTTACATAATCTCAGTGGCATTCCCGAATATAGAAGAAATGTATATCGACTATTGCAGTGATTTAATAGAGTTGCCCGCCGAGATTTGTGATCTTAGTAAACTAAAGAAGCTCAGTGTCACTAACTGTCATAAGATATCTGCCTTTACCTGAAGGGATTGGAAAGTCGGAAAATTTAGAAATGTTGAGGCTAAGATCCTGCACAAAACTGTCAAAGCTTCCAACCACGATGAAGAACCTTGGAAAGGTAAACTTTCTTGACATATCTATTTGCTTCAGCATCAAGATGTTGCCCAAAGACATAGGTGAAATGAGTAGTTTAAAGAAGATGAACATGAGACAATGCTCAAGGTTGCAAGAGCTGCCTCCATCAGTCATGGATCTTAAGCAGTTAAGGGAAGTTGTCTGTGATGAAGATACAAAATACTTATGGGAATCTTTCTCATTGTGTCTCAACAACGTAAGGATAATTGTGGCCAAAGAGAATATCAACCTAAATTGGATCCACAAGACTCAGTTCTAATACCTGTGTTTCCTTGATGATCGTTGCTCTTCAACCTCTCTTGACTTGTGTTTCATTGTCTTCCTATTTTAGGCTATTTCCCATCTCCTTTTTAGTTTGTTCGTGGCTAGAATTTCCGTTGGGGATGTTTCCTAGCGGACGAGCACACAGCTCACCAAGAGGTTGGCACCGGTTGATGCTTTCTGTTAGGCTTCTGCTCACTGGCGGGCTTGTCAGGCAAATCTTGTTGGGCAAGGCTTGTCGGGCAAGGCTGAAAGAGAAGGACATGGTTAACTTTGAAATGTGCCTTTGTAGGGCCTTAGGTGTAGGTCTTGAGGCTCACAATCAAGATTAACTTTTAGGTGTTCAGGCATGCCACTGCCATCTTTAGCATGATAGATGTAAAACAGATGTTGAGTTTTAATTGTATATATACCCGAGAGGCTGTTTTAGTTATGAAAGGTGCCTTTGTAGGGCCTTAGGTGTAGGCCTTGAAGCTCTCAATCAATAACTAACCCAGTACTCGAACATATAATGTTTGTTTCATTGATTGCAGAAGTGTTATGACTATTATACTTCTAATTACCTGAGCCCGAAGAGCAGAATGAATCCAAATAGGTGCCTTTGTAGGGCCTTAGGTGTAGGCCTTGAGGCTTCCCATCAGAATTACTTCTATACTCAAACGTTCTACGATAATCATAATATAACAGAAATAAAACTAGGAAATAGGTCGATTACTTGCGCCCTAAGTAACTTCGGACTTCTTGTTATCAAAGTCTGTCGTGGATGGGTTAAGTCCACATAAGGTTCTTTTTTATGCCTTGAGACCAAAGACTTTTGAATGATCAATCTTACATGCCCGAGGGTTTAGAACTTAGATCTGATTTAAACTGTGACTACATATTCCAATCGGATTCAAGCACTGAGGAGTCTTTTAATCATCAACTTGCTAGAAATAACTTGGATACAAATGGAAGTATACAACATATTACTAGACTTATGAATGAAAAGACAAAAACAAAGAGGGTCGGGCAAGGTTTCACTTTGTCGGGCAAAGCTGGTCGTCTTGCAACTTCCTATCTTTGTGATTTATAGAGGGGTTTGAGAACTTGGAAAGAGGGATAAGGAGATGAGTTTACAGAAGGAAATCGATACTACAGTAAGATTTAGACAAAGTAGCAAAGCTTTTACAAAAGCTTTTGGTGAGGGTTGATCCCGAAATGGATGAAGGCTTGGGCTGACTACAGCTTCGTTGAAAGCAAATCTGGCTTGAGCAGAGTTTGTGCTTATATTTGTTTGGTTGTTTGAGTGTCCTCATCTCTGATTTTCTTTCTTCTTTTATAGACAGTTTGGCTTGGCATCCAGTAGCTTTAATCTTGCCCGAATGCAGCTTGAAGGGCAATGACTCATCAGCTTTTTACTTGTACTGCTACTGTAAAGTGCTTTTGGGCTGATTAGCTGGCTGGTCTACACCACTTGGTCTCTAGGTAGGTGAACAAGTGGTTCAAATGATCTGCACCTAGTCGGGAAAAGGCCTTTTCTTCCTTCTGGGCTTTAGCTGGACTTCGGGCTTCTTTCCTCCTAGTCATTCTTTTGGACCGACTCCCTTTTGAGCCCAAAGTTCAAGTTTTAACCCAAACAGTGCCCCCTTCAATTAATATTCAGGCTGGAATTCCAGGCGCCAATATTGATTGAATAGCCGCATGCATGTATACCTCATCTCGGAACTTGTGTTTTCTAAACGGGACGAATGCAATCTTGCATCTCTTGCTCTTCTCATGACCTTTGAGCTATCCTCTGAGGTTTCTATAAATTCAGGCTCGAAATTGCTCCTGTCCAGCCAACAGATCCTCTTCAGCCTTCTCTTTTATCTCCCTTAACTGGAAAATGGGTTCCTCCGAATTCAATTTGGGTTTCCTAA